ATGTTAGTGCTTTAGAATTGAGCTAAGATACGAAAACAAACTTCCTTAACGAATCTTGACAGTTATTACTAAAAATATACTGACTTAATCAATCTAATAAAGGTTCAAAAGAATCATGGCTGGGAAAAAATGCTCGTAGAACTTAGAACTGAAATTTGCTATTTTTCTGCAGTCATAGCTTGAATTGCAGGATGTAAAAACATCCCAAAGTGAAATAAATAAAGTGTCTACACTTGTAGAGTTACACTGCTACAACTGCTGTTGTCTGATTCCCAAGGTGAGTTTGGATAACTATTATCAGAAACCCCTCAAACAAAAGTTTCCTTTCTTGTTATGGATTCAATGTATGGAACAAAAATGCAAATAATCAATGTGACACCTCCTGAAAAGGTATGAAAGGTCTGAGTATGCATTAATAGTCAGTGGGAAACCAAACATATAAAGATGATTTAAGAAATGTCAACTTTGTGCTTTTTGATATTGTCCAGGCACAAGAGCTTATATTGCTCTTTCTGCATATCTGTCCATCTAACTGTCTCTGTTATTCATCCATGTCTCCTGTTCTGCAGATGAACAGGAAATAGTTGCTCTGCAGTCTAGGTCATGTATTAAACTAACCTGAGCATAATTTATGGTACTTGCAGTGTTTGCCAATCTACAGACATCGTTGACACCTACCAGTTCAATATGTTTCAATGTACTTTCAACAATTTACTGTAGCTTGCATGCCTACCGTTAAAACTGATAGCAAATATGTTAGCCGGTATAACAAAATAACACTATATTCTGTAAGTGCTGAATTGACATGAAATATCGTGTACTAGCTGTAATTTACAAGTAAAAATAAAATTGCTGTGCTAAGAGGCCAGTTTCTTTAAATCACTTGTTAAATACATTAGATGAATGAGGATTTATTATTTGAATGGTTTTATTTTCTTTATTGGAAATATATTGCAAGTCTAAAGCTGAAGTAGCGTACAATGCGGGGAGGAGAAATATAAATGAATTAAATTGGAGCACATTCCAGCTGTCCTATCTATTTATCTTAGGAAAGTCCTTACATTTCAAACCCAGCAACAACAGAACGCTCAAGCTGATCCACAACAGAAAACACTAATGGGAAATTCAGCTAAAACAATTGTGGGCTGTTAGCACAAACTTCACAAAATGAGACTTCAAAAAGACAGTGGAGTGTAAAGGATTATGGGACTGGTTCACCACTGTAAAACTGCAGTAACTCAGCGGTGGATTAGGCCCTTCAATAAAGTAGGTTATGCCAATAAGCAAAATACTATGCAGTAAGCCAAATTCAAGAAACCTACACAAGAAGTCTGCTCTAGGAAGGAAAACTGCACACAATTCTTAATTCTCTAAGAACACCTGGCTATAAGGACACTATAAAAGGGGCTTATAAGAATTAGCATCAGCTTCCCACAGCAAGCTTTCAATGCAAACTCTAAAAGCAAACTGATGTACAAGGTAGACTAGAAGTGTGGGGCATAGTGCTGAGTGAATACTGCAGTTTCCCACAAATGTTATTGAAAATAGGAAAGGAATTCTTCTGCTATTGTTTTTGCTCACTTTCCTTATCTTTCTGTGCTCATCTTCTGAGGTTTCTAGCTAAGAAGTTAGGTAATATTTGCAGACATACTCACAGAGATTCTGTAGTGTTTAAATTGAAAGGAAATGTTACAGAATACATTTGAAAAGTGATTTTGAACCTGACTTTGAATGTTTGTGTGCAGAGACTTGTTATCAGTGAATATTCATATTGGAAACCTGACCCCGTCACGAAGTTCAGAACTCACCGCTGGGGTACCTCCTTGTGGCTCATCAGGGATTAGCTCACAACCAGTCCGATTCCCTTCCTTTGGTTTCTCATCCCATGGCCTTGCTCTCTCGCTGGAGTCAGGTAACTTCCTCTTCATGGCGTGGCCCTCCAGCCAGGTCACTACAGTTCTCCCATTCCATGGTATCAAAGCTCCATTGGAGGACTATCTCAGTTAGTCTTCCCATCCACTGCCTACTCTGTGCCACTTCCCCAGTGGCTGGTAGGGGAACCTGGGTGCCCCCACTACTCCAGGTTCTGGCCCAGGGATCCTACATCCAGCAGCCAAGGTCTGCATACTGTCCCAAACCATGCTGCTGTCCCCCTGAACTACTTCCTACTTCACCTCTCTCAGGCTCCTTCTCTACCCACATCTGAGTACACCCTTCCCTGGATCCTAGGGCTTCTATTTTCCCCTGGTTTCCTTCTTTCCCTCTCTAAAGCCCAAGTGTGACTTCAAGCCTTCTGTGCTGCATCCCCCTTCTTACACACAACTTTCTGATTTAGAGCAGCTCAGCCTGCCCCTGCCCAGCTGGGCTTCATTATCACTTAAAGCTCATCAACCCTGACTCTTCTCCAAGTGTAGCCGGTCACAGGGTTAACTGGTTCTTTTTACCCACTCAGGCCGTGTGTGGGGGAGGCACCCATCACACACCCCACCCCCATAAGGAAACAAACATACTGTGTGATCTCTCAACCATGTTTTCTACTCTTGTAAAGGGGCACAGCTCTTTTGACTTCAATGGGGTTTGACCATGTATATTAGCCAACAACTTGACCCTATGTGTCTAAACAAAATTTCTCAGTTATTCAATTAGAATATTGGCTACTTGCAATGAACTACTTTCTCGTGGCCATCAACAAAACCAGAATCATTTGTAGAAATTATCTGACAAAGAATTTTGAATCAATAAATTTGAGAAAAATCAGACTCTTTTCCCAGACAACTTGCAAATAGGAAAAAAAAAGAGTTTAATCCATCAAATATATTATTCATTACAAATTATTCCCTTGGGTGGAGTTGGGAACAATATTTAGATATTCCAAAAGTTGATCTGCATTTGAGATGGAGAAAATGTCTTGGGAGAAAGCATAGGCTTTGAAGAACTGAGAAGAGAATAATTCAACAGGAATATACCATTGAGGCAACAGTTAATCAAAAACTTGATTGCTGAAAAAGCTAGAATTGTCCATTTAATGTTGTCCCTTCATGAATGAGTCATCATCATAGTGAAAACTTCTTAAAGCATGTAATCATAAATTGTTCAGGTCTGGAAGCATGTTGTACTCTCAATGAAATATTTGCATCAAGTTTCAGTCTGCACCTCCAAATCTTTAATTATTTATTTTAATATAGGCTGTTAGCATGGTCAATATTCAAATCTTCAAACAAGGGAGGCCGTTGCAAATAGTGCAAACAGGGGTAGTCCTACTAGGAGATACTGAACCACACTTCCATCAAGTCAACTGGCATTTTATGCTTTGACTGCACTTCAAATAGGGTGACCAGATGTCCCGATTTTATAGGGACAGTCCCGATTTTGCGGTCTTTTTCTTATATAGGTTCCTATTACTCCCCACCCCCATCCCAATTTTTCACACTTGCTGTCTGGTCATCCTAACTTCAAAGCTTATGCCCTCACTGCACTTCATAGTATATTTCTTTTACAAGTGTTGTATTGTCAGTGAGTGGATAAAGGCCAGTATTTTGGCTCAAGGCCTTCCTCAGGGAGGTTGGCATTTATCTAGATGATGACAATACAACACCTGTAAAAAGAAGAAAAGAGCAGTAAAAATTTATTTTCTTCATGAGGTACTGCAATGCAATGAATATACTTTGAAGATCAGCTGCAATGAAGCTTTTATCTTTACTGAGAGAGGAGTTTTCTGGAGTTTGAATGGATTCTAATTTGTTATCCTTTATGCAGTCTGTGTATAATAGCTGCAGAAAAACTGATAAATGATGACAGCTCATTGCTTTCTCCTCTATGTAGGAATTTATTTCCCTCCCACCCCAATCATCATACTATCCAAGTACCTTTACTGACAAGTATCATTGATATATACTTAGTTGGAAACAATAGCATCATCTCTCCTAAGTGATTGTGGAGCAGAACATATATTAGTGCAGGGATTGGCTATCTTTGGCACGCAGCCCATCAGGGAAATCCGCTGGCGGGCCGGGATGGTTTGTTTACCTTCAGCGTTCACAGGTTCGGCCGATCGCAGCTCCCGTTGGCCACAGTTTGCCATTATAAGCCCATGGGGACTGTGGAAAGCGGCAGCCAGCACATCCCTCGGCCCACACCACTTCCCACAGCCCCCATTGGCCTGGAACAGCGAACCATGGCCAGTGGGAACTGCAATTGGCTGAACCTGCGGACGCTGCAGGTAAACAAACCACCACGGCCCATCAGCGGATTTCCCTGATGGGCCACATGCCAAAGGTTGCCGATCCCTTATCTATAGTATTGCATTTGAAGGAGAGATTCCTTCACTTTTAATGGTCTAACCCTGATATTGAAGTAAGCTAGATGTTTGCTTTAATTAAAATAATATACTGTTAACAATGGGAAAATGGGATCAAACTCAGAAGCCCGTCATTCATGAAGTTCCAATTGATTTCACTAGAAGTTTCATACATGGAAAGTTTGCAGGGTTAAGCCATTGGTTTATAATTGGTAACATTTTAATTTCTTCCTCCTCTATCCATTTGTAAAAATAAAGGTGAATGAATAGTGTCACTGTGTTCTCTTATATTAAACAGAAACACTGTCACATTTTTCTACTGAAGGATTGTAGCCAGAAAGTAACTGTTTCAGAATGTAAAGCACTCATGTGAAATCCCAATGTAGTGTGAGATTTTTGAGATCACTTCCAAAAGTAAAAAAAACACGATACTGCAGAAGTTGGTGTTAATGGTTTCTACTTCGACACTATGAATAATGATTTCAAATGTGATGAAAGCCTTGTGAGGTGATGACTGTCAAGCTCTGAAATACTTAATTAAAATAGGATGCTTTCTTATTAACATTCTCCAGAACCTGATATGAGACAGATGGACACAGAAAAGATATGCAGTTTGAAGCTGACTTATGGAAGAAGAGGATAAGACTAGGAATTAATAGAAGCAAAAGCATAAGCTCTTTCTGCAGGAGATAATAAAGCTACATTTCCATGTAGAAGGATAGTTTATTACTTAAACAGTATGTACAAATTCTAAACATGAAAATACTGAGTAACAGAATATCAGACTCTATTTATAATTACATTTTTTTTACAAAATGTTTTTACAAGAAGCATTTTTGCTCTAAATAACATGACAGACACACACATACACAAAAATCAACCTTTCTGTATTACATACATAAATAAATATTGACTTTAAATGACAGTTATAGGGACATAATTTCTACAGCCAATTTGGACAACAGATAAGTAGTTCTGTCATCTCTGCATTACAATATAATTAAGTAAAAAGGAAAAATTATTTCACATATAGACCTCTGTTAATTACTTTTTAAATTGTACCTTACTAATATATTCAGTAGAGGTAAGACAGTCATTACACTCATGCCTATAACTGAACAATGAGTTTGGGCATGCAAAACCATATATAACCATCATCCACATCTGCAGGTATTCATTTACATTTTTAAATAAAGTTTTTATTTATTTACTTAAACTACATGCAACAGCTTATTAGCATCAGATTCTGGGTTACAATGCACAAGTTTGCATAACAGTATTTATAGTAATTGATGTTCACAGGTACTGATAAAAAATGTCAGAATATACTTGGCATACAGGGAAAGAAAAGGAATTAATAAATAAGTCAATATCATAGCTACCTTTACAGATACATAGGGCAAAAATCAATTTTCTAAGAGTGTTGTATAAGGGTTTTAAAACAGTCTGGGCCTTATCCTATGTTCTTTAAGGCGCTGATTTAGGACAGCACTTCAGGGCACGCTTAAATCTATTCCTATTCAAGACAGAATTAAGCACATGTTTAAATTAAACATGTGCTTATGTCCTATTAACATCAATGCAGTTAAGCGTGTGCTTAATTTCTGTCCCGAATAGCAATGCTTTCCTGAAGCAGGGCCTCTATATCCAGAACTCTGACTGATTTCAATGAGAGTCTTGGGTAGGAAAGGAATTCAGATTAGACCCATAGAATATTTCAGCCTCAATCCTGCTTCCACTGAAGGCAATGGTAAAATTCCTATTTGCATTAATGGTGCAAGAACAGACCAGTGTTTCTTTGATTTTGTGCATGATCTTGCAAGGTACTAGTGCCACCTGGGAGTTGCTGCATTATGCCCTCAACTACAGATGAATGCTATGAAAGTTGAGGGTGTTCAGTATCTTGCAGTTCAGACCTTTTATTTGTAAGAAGTTCTTGTCCCCTTCATATTCCCAGGGAATACCACATAGCACCCATATTAGTATGGTACAACCTTTCTCCTTTTAAGTTTTAAGATAGAAATATTTTCTAGTCCTTACTCTGTTCTATTAAAAGCTCAAAAATTAACTGCCATAAGAAAAAAAATTCTCATTCTTAAACAGCATTCAATGTAAAAAATAGTTTCAAATGCATAAAAAAATCTTAGAGCAAAAATGGCATAATCCTATAATTTTCCATTAGCAAACAAAATGTATGTCATCCAGGATTTAACTGATAAATCAATCAGAATAGTATGCTAAGTAAGTTAGTAATATATGGGTGTAAAAGTGCAGTGTACCTAGAAATATCCCACTATCCATATTTGATCTTTATTACTGAGGAACTGAGAAAAAAATCTTTAACTAAAAATCTCAAGTAGTGATTTCAAACTCCATTGCTGATTGCAATGTTAGCATGATTTAGACCAGTCAAATTAGATTAACTGTAATAAAACCTGTACAATTCAGTAAATGACGGTTTATGAATTAGACACTAAGACCCACATCCTCAAGGTACTGAGGTGCCTAACTCGCACTGGATGTAGGCATAAAAGTCTTCAAATGTATGATGTTAAATTAAAATAATTATATGAAAAATGGCTGGTATTTAAGAACAAATAAAATATCATTTAATGCCCCATGTGTTGATGGTTTGGTTGACTCTTATGATTTCAGGATAATTTATTCCCATGAAATTTCTATAGCTGAATGTTGAGTTGAGAAACTGATTATTAAAGAGCAAGATTAAAGTCTTAATCATCTGTTTATAAACCACAATCTATTCATTCCACTCCCAAGCCCTTCACCTTTATCTCCAAGATATAGAGAGTCAAATCCTGCTGGCCTTACTCAGGCGAAACTCAATAGCAGTTCTTCGAAGACTGTTTTGCCTGAGTTAGGCTGATTGGTCCTATAATAAATAATTTACCTTTATATAAATATATAAAAACCTCCAGACTATTTTATAAATATTTTAATGAACTTTAGTCTCCTCCTGAAACAGCCAATTAAGAAAAAGTAACAAATCTAGCAAGCAGCTCAAACCATTTGGAGGAATATGGCATTCCACTCAACAATCAAGACCTATCATATAATAATCAAGAGCTGTTAATTTGCCAAGTTCTATCTTCTTGAATCCAAGGTTTGTCATTGAAACTGGATTTCAAAAAGACAAAGAGACAAATTCTGCACTCACTTATATCAATGTGATTTCAGCATAACTTTATTAACATCAGTCAATTTATTCTAGATTTAGTCGAGCGCTACAGAGAATAGAGTCTGTAAAAATATTTATGCTGAAGTTTTCAGAGAAGCCTAAGGGAATTAGGTGTCACAATCTAACTCCAGAGCACTTTCCTAGCCTTACTTATGTCCTATGTAATTTAAATATATAAGTGGTGCCATGCATTGGTCCTATTCAAATTACATAGTAATTTATTTCTGAAGATGTGTGTACCTAGATGCATGTCAGATTTCAGCTGGGTGAAAATAGTTGACCTTCTGTCAGTTACAGTTCCCTTCAAAGTTTGCTCACATTATGTAATAGGGAAGAGAAGTTATGGTATGGTGGGGGGGGGGAGGTTGTTTGTTTGTTTTTTAGCTCCAAAGCATGAACAGCCCTTAATACCTTGTGAAGTAATTATCCAAGGCCCAAGACTTGTACCCTAAAGACAGCTTTGTGGAGTTACCTTTTTGATATATGCACCCATGGAGCAAGTATCAGGAAAAATAGAAAGAGAATGGCAGAATTAATGCAATAATCTCTGAGTTGTCTTTTAAAAAAAATATTCAAATACTGGAAAAACTGAATGAACAAACTAGTCAGAAATTGCAATGGGGCTCTTGACTCTTGGTAACATCAGCTGGTCAAACCTTTTCAATGCAGGTGATCTGTATTTGAATTTCTTCTGTGCCATGGTATACTGAGCATAATCATTTTCTTTCAGTTTCAAGCACAGATATGTTATCTTTTTATTTGGTGTTCTTCAGAATGTTTATTGTTGTTGTGACAAGGAGTATTTTCCCTTCTGAGGGTATCTTAGGAAGAAGTTGAGTACAGAAACTTTATCTGTAGTCAGATTGGGGTTTGTTTGTTTTTGTGGCACTTGTTGTTGGGGGATTCCATGAAGTTATTTGTCAATTTCAAGTTACAGAAAGCTTGATATGTATTATTCTCATTTAAAGATGTGTAACAGAATCTGTACAAGAGAACGCAGAGACAGCAATTTTTTGGATTATTTGTATGGTCACCATGTGTAGAGACAAATTTTCCATCATTCTGATTATAAAGCCAAGCAGTTTCTCTTTACTATTAAAGACTCTCTCTGTGTGGCAAATTACTCTTCCTGTTTACATTGCACAAGAAGCTCATTTGCATTCCCTTATGATTAAGGAACAGGGTGCCCTTCATGCCTGAATTTGAAAAAGTCAGTCAAATTATAAGCCAATGACTTCCAGACATCAATGTATTGTCACAATTCTATGACCGGAGTACCATGTAGCCAGCACATCCATTCTGCTGTTCAAAAGATCCTTGGGGAAAATAGATATGCACATCAAAAAGCCAAAGAAACCCCAAACATAACATAAGCCTTGGAATTTTCATGTCTAAAATGTGACCATTCCCTATTTAGTTCTCTAACAGGGAAAATACAGGGTTCCCTTCAAAATATTTAAAAAAATAATAATAATAATAATTGGGAGAGATTTTCAAAGGCATGTGTCCAGCTACTATAGAACATCAGTGGAAGTTAGGCACCTAACTGCCATTTGTGCCTTTGAAAATCTCCCTTGTTAACACATTTTATTAAGGAGAGAGCTTCATGATACCATTTCCACAGAAAATATAGATATATTACTAAGAAAATACATCAGCAAGCACGATCTACTTTTGTTGTTGAGTTAATAGTAGTTTCCATTGCAGACTGAACTGTATGCATCTGTTATTCCTACTTATTCGGTTGTGCACTTATTTTAGGTAAATGGAGATATCCTTTAATGGCAAACTATTTACTGTACAGGCTTAGCTGATGTAAATTGGCTCGGCTCCACTGAGAGATGCTAATTTACACCAGCTGAAGATCTGCCCTCTGGCTTTCAAAGCTATGTATACATAAAAGAACAATGTCTCAGATATTGTTATAAAGATTAGCAAAACAAAAGCCTCTGTTACTCACTGCACCCCTTCCATCTACTTTAAACCTAGGAAACAAAATGTTATTACAACAAACATACATTTGATTTTTCTCAGATGTGTTGAATTGGATGCAATCTTCAGTTAGCAGAATAGGGGTGGTACTTCATGATAGTTGCTGTACATTTCATCCTGGCATGGGTACAAATATTATTCTTCATGCTTAAACTATGTAGAAGTGGCTACAAATCATACAGGATGATAACTTCCACTGGAAAAAATTGATTCATTGTTCCTACAGATGTGCATTTTTCTGGTCTTCTTGTGGGAGCTCAGTTTTTCTCTCAGTTATTCGTTTAATCATCTGAAGCAGTCTAGTATTTTTCTGGGGGTGGCTTGTAGTGATGTGGATGGTGCTGTTTCAGATGAGGCCCTAAATAAAGAAGAAAGGGTATTCACCACTTTTAACCTTTGTTGTATATACGATAAAATAATTAGGCCCCCATTACCATAATATCTGAGCACCTCCCAATCTTTAACATTTTTATCCCCACAACACCTCTATAAGGCAGGGCAATGCTATTATACCCCTTTTACAGGTAGAAAACTGAAATACCAGGTGACTTACACAGAATGTCTGCAGCAGAGCAAGACTAGAAGCGGGATCTCTTACAGCCCAGATTGCCACTGTAACCACTGGATCATCCATCCTTTCAGTGGAATAATTGCATACAAGGCCCTGAACCTGCAAAAAACTCTGCCTGTGCTGACATATACCCCGGGCCTTTTAAATCACCACCAGAGCTCCGGCAGCCGGTCTTGGACGGTGATTTAAAGGGCCCAGAGCTCCCCGCAGTGGCAGGAGCACCGGGCCCTTTGAATCCCTGCCCGAGCTCGGCTGCTGGAGCCCTGGGGCCTCAGCAGCCAGGCTCCAGCGGGGATTTTAAGGGCCCGGGTCTCCTCACAGCAGCTGGAGCCCCGGACCCTTTAAATCACCGCCCGAGCCCTGCCACCCTGGGGTAGTGGCGGCAGGGCTCCCGTGGTGATTTAAAGGGCCCGGAGCTCCATGGGCCCTTTAATTCGCCCCTGAGCCCCGGGGCTCCCAGCCGCCTCTGCAGCTGGTAGCTCTGGGATGATTTAAAGGCTCCGGCATACTGGTAAGGGTTCTACAGTGATCAGAGGACTTAATTCCTAAATTCAGCCAATTATTTACTTTACTTATTTACTTATTTACTACTTGCATTTCTCTCTACAGCACCACTGTATCCCAGATGTCTAGATTTCTCACAAAGCAATGCACTGGCTGTGCCACACGTGTAGTTTCTTTGCTACAATACTTTGCAATGGCCTCAACATGACCCTGAGGTCCTGAGATAATATCACCAGATCACTTAAACTACCTTTTTGCAGTCCTCCCCCACCCCACCCCCAAAGAGCAACCTGGATTTAACAGGTTTTGGAGACTGATAATCTGAGCTACCATCTTAGCCTATAATACCAAATAGGTGGATTGTTTGTTTTTAACCTGAACCAATATTTGTGTAACTGATCATTAGATATAACAAAATATTTACGGACGTACCTTGGTTAACAGTTTGGGCTCTGATCTTTTGGTTTTTTTTAGCCGTTGTTTCTACTAAGCCTTGGTGCAAATTTGCAGTGTTACATTAGAGGGAAGATAGTGATTATGAGAAACACTAGTATTACTCACATGCTAAATATTCTAAAATTATTGGGTTCACTTACCCTTTATATGTATTTATATATTGGGGGGAAACAAAAACTGTACAGTAAATATACAATGGATGCAATTAAAAAGTTCATTCTGGTTTCAGAGCCATTAAATGTTGCAGCAGGATTCTCCATTTTACTTATAGGGACTATCCCTGGAATCCATAATATCTCTAAAAACAGCAGTTTAAGACTGCTCACTGTATAAAGAGTATAAAAACATGACTTTGTTTTAATTGTTGCAGTAGACAATATTCTAAGTGCCTTTCTCCGCACGTACACTAGTCCAAATACTTTTATGTCAGATCACAACACTTACTGTGGGGTGAAGATGGCAGCAGATCAGGTGTTCGGAAAGATTTTATTGTGGCTGGCCCCTCCCCGCCTGTTGTCAGCACTTGCACTTCTAATCGGTAAAGCGTTGATGGCCTCAGGTTGGGGACAGTCAGCACATAATGATCCTAAAAATATATGAATGGAATAAATTCTTATGTCTACCAGAAATAGACAATTGCTTCATCCAGAAATTGTGTACATTAAGTAGATACTTTCTTTCTCACATACATACTTGTTTTAAAATTGTGTTGCAACTCCCACAGATTGTTTTCTTATGATTTTATTTTAAAGATTTCATACATTTATTATGTAGTTCACTACTCTTTTGGTTTGGTTACATGTTCCTAAAGAGTTGGTATCAAAAAATACTTGGCAGAGCAAGAATTTGAAATAAAGCCAGTTCTCAGGCCTGGTCTACACCTAGATCTTAGGTCAACCTAGCTACATTCATACCCATGAAAGAGGTAGTTAAACCAACCGCGACCGTAGTGTAGACACAGCTAGGTCAATGGAAGAACCCTTTCTGTCACTGTAGTAAGAGTCAGTGCTATCCTGGCACAGCTGCAGCCCTGAAGCTGTAACGTTTCTAGTGTAACCATACCCATAGAGTTCACCTATAGGATATTCTTCCCTCTGTCCCTTAAAATACAGCTTTCCCTATAGTAAAGGTTTCACTTGCACATTTTGTGATGCCACTTCCAGATACTTCCAACTGCAATTTTCTAGTCAGTTTCCTGAAATTAAAGTGTCAGTGTCATGAATGGAGTTTATTTCTAGGTTTTATTTATTTTTCAAATAACAAGTACATTGTACGTCTTATAAAATATTTTATAGAAGCCAATGTCTGTCTTTAGTTGCCATTGATTTGTAAACTGATGGCCTTTTTGAGTCCAGGGCAAGAGCCTCAGCTGGTGAAGATTAGTATAGATCCACTCAGCTACCCAGGCTAATGAATGGGCCCTGAATTTTTAATCCCATTTTTGAAGTGGTGAGAGTTGAATGATTAATTAATCCTGGGCCAGACTTTTCACTGCTTTGCACCTTGTGCGATCATTTACAGTCAGACAAATAAATGCAGATTAGGTGTAAAATATTTCCAAATGAGAATGAACACTTGTAAATGACTCAAGGAAATGCAGTGAAGAATCAGACCTTCAATTCAACTTCTTCCCCAGGTCGTTTGGGCTGCTGAATCACCAGACAACCATCCACTGGACTAGTCCTAGGACTGAACTATTGGCATTAAACTCAGGTCTGTGGAACCAAACACTGAACAAACACAAAGTAAGCTCCACCTGGTAGCTACACCTAGCATTCCAGGAATTGCCTGCCAGAAGAAATTGCTGTGCCGACAGAGCATTTAAAGTACGCGCAGCACACTTGTTCTGATCTAGCTCACTGAAGTCAATGGAAAGACCACTGTCTTCATTGGGCTTTGGATCAGGCCCAGGGTGCTTAGTAGCAACCTCTGCCTCTGGTGGAGTTGGCAACATCTCTTGAATGGCCTCCCTCCTGCTTGCTGCTGCTACTACCATGGGAGGAACTGGAGCCCTTGCAAAGAAAAGGGGGAATCGTGCAAGTTAAAATCTTCTCCCACTTTATATGAACAGAGATCTAGTTCTATTTTGAATTGCCATTATTTAACTGTCCACATAAGGGGGACAGGGATCCCCTCAAGTCCCCTCCAGACCCTGCTTCAGGTCCTTGCAATGTCTTTTTCTCACCTCCTGACAGATGCCCAAGGGGGTTCTTGGAGTAAACAAACTAAAGAAAAGTTCCCTCCCCTCTTTTTTCCCTTCTGGGAGAGGGGAGTCTGTGGAAAATTAAAGAGAAGTAAGGGTGACCTGGATCTCAGGCAGTCTTTCTGAGTCAGCCCTTTAGGCTTAGTCTAAACAGGGTCCACCTCCAGCCTCTCCACTCCATGGGGCATGCTGCTCTGTGGCTGGGTTGTGCAGCTTCAGGAGCAATGAGGCTTGTTGCTGTCTCCCTCTCAGCAAGCCAAGCTGGGGCAGGGCAGCCTTCTTCCTCTTCCCCCAGCCCTTCCTGAGGCAGCTTTTCCCTTTCAAGCTCCTCGCTCCCTTCCCCCCACCCACCCCCAGTAGAACAAGTCTCACAACTGCATCTTGTTAGTGTAGAACAGGCCCAGAGAAACTTGTTAGTCCCCTCTCTGTCAGTGTGAGGGTGTGTCCCTTTATACCTTTGTACAAATTTGCAGAAAAGGGAGAAGAGCTTTATTTTCCACAAAGCACATATCCAGATGGAACAGAGGGAAGGTTAATGCAAAGGAGAGAGAAATTATCTTGCATTCAGGGTGTAATCTGGTGTGGACTCACCCCTGCAGCACCTCCTACTGGTCATCTCAGGAATTAGTTCACCAGTATCCAGAGTGCCCTCTGCAGGCCCGGTATCCCACCTGTTGTTGGCCCCCATGTCCCTCCCGGACCCCGGTGCCCTTGGCTTGGGTGCTGCCCCCTGGCAGTACCCCAATCTCTCTCTGGGTCTCCCCACCCAGGGGAACCCCCACCCCCTATCCCAATGTCACCTCAATTATGGCTACTGCCAGTCACCATCTAGCCCCCATGCCCTGGGGCAGACTGCAGTCTATCAGCCAATCATCACCAGCAACAAGGAGTTTGGACTGGCTGCCTTTACCCACCCTCAGGTTGCCCCTCTGCAACCCCAGTACCTATATGGGCCTACGACCAGGCCCTGCAGCCTGGGGAGTTGCTGGCCTAGGGCTTTCCAGCCCTGCCTCACTCTACGTCCCCGGGTGAGCTCCCTGCAGCCAGGCCTAGCTCTCTCGGTAGTCAGAGGGACACTCCTCAACTCTGCCTACCCTGGCCTTCATATAAGGCTGAGTGGCTCAGTTTGGGGCGTGGCCCCAGCTGCAGCCACTTCCCCAATCAGCCTGGGTTTAGCTCCTTTACTCAGCCCCAGCCCTCTCCAGGGCTTTTCCAACCCCTTCAGGGCTGGAGTGGGCGTTCACCCCGCTACACAGGGTAACCCCACTAAGTTTCCCATCCTGGATATCAAAGAATTAACAAATCCTTACTATCCTAGGAACAGACCGGCCTGATCATCAAAAGAAACATATCTTCTGCTGCCTAGATGATCTTTGCCTTCATTAAGGCATATCTCAAATATGGTTGCTAATTTGACAATCATACACATTACAATGTTTGATGTGTCATCAAGATAAGTAGTTGTTCTGGAGATGTATCCCAAACAAGGGGGGGGAAGTGAACCCGTTTTCTGCTCAGACACACATGCAGAACCAGAGACCACAATGGTGCCTGGCAGCTAAATCATGACTAAAAATACAAAATTAGCCATGCACACAAACATGCAATGCCCACAGCAATAAAAAGAAAACAAACTTACTGCTGGCAGTATCTGTGATTGGGAAATGATGCTGTTGGGTAAGCTGTTTTGCCTGCTCTCTGTAGTAACCTCTGCCCAGGTGACTTGAAACCCTGTCATGGGCTGATGAAGATTTGCCTTTGATATCTTCCACGAAAAGTGACCAGTAATATTTACTTCCTGAACAATGAAAGAGGCAGATAGATTCTCGGGTTTGGCCAGCACTTTAGGGAGAACTGATGCTGCAAAAATTTGAGGCAAGAGGATAAGTTAAATTTTGAGGAACTGCTGAAACAGTGTTAATATAGCTTGAGATCCCAGGGTCACAGTCTGTTTCTTGATGTGTCTTTATCTAGTTTACTCAGGACTTTGCCAACTTTTTGCCACCTCTTTTCTTAAGATACTTTTCTTAAGATACTTCTGAAGAGGCAACAGCATAAACTCTCTAATTTAGGAGAGTTTCAAGGTAACGTCTCAGTATTGCATCTGGTAAAAAGTATACTATAGTCCCATAGCTTGATTATTAACTGACTTGTATTTTGTTTGGTCATTTACCTGTGTAAAGTGAATGCAAAGTGGTATACAATTTGTCAATTCAAAATGGGAACATTTTAGACTCACGTTGGACAGGTGTAAATAACTACACAAGGTGCAAAGCACTGGCAATTAAAACGTACAGCCTTAGGCCTTGTCAGCACAGGAAAGTAGTTTTGGATATAACCTAGGGTTGAATTTAAACTGATACAGTTATCCCAGTATAACTCTCTGTGTGGACATTTATACCAGTATAAAAAGGCTTTTTTTTTTTGCTATAGCTTATTTGGGAAAGGGGATAAGTTAAACCAAAAACAGCCCTCTTATACTGGAATAAGAGCATTCACGAGGTGGGTTATAAAGGTATAACTAATATCTGTATAATTCTATCTGTATAACTTATAAAACTTTCCAGCACAAACAAATCCTTAAAAAAAGAATAGCAATGTAAATCATTGCTATAATAATACTGCTACAATATATACTTGAATAATCCCCTGAAATTCTTATCTAAGTGACCAACCAATTCTATGATAGCCTTGTCAAGTTGGTAAAACCACACCCCTATGTATTTAATTTGATTGCATTTGTAACGAGGAAAAATGTTGAAAGTATTTGTTAGATAAATTTCCTACTAAAAGAATTCAAAGACTCTTTAATGTTGAAAAACATTACTTACCAGGGTATCCTGGTAATTACCTGGACATTCAGATACACAAAAATAAGTCTCCTCTACTTATTCTGAGTCTTTCAAAACACATTTGAGAATTGTTTTACAAAACTTGTTTTTGAGTGCCTAGAAGTGCACTTGAAATCTACTCTGCAAGTTCTTCAGACCGTGACTTACCTCCTTCAGCAGGACAAGTAATGTGCTTGTGGTTTTTTCCTTTAAGAGCAGAGCAAGGTGGGGTGGTAAAGAAAATACTTTCAGCCTTCAAACGACCTTTAGATCTTGCTGGCTGAACGGTCACTTTATATTTACATGAAAATGACAGGTCCTGAAGAATTATGTAGTTTTCCTAGACCAAGAAAAACAGTATATGCTGCGAATAAACCTTTTTTTAAAACCATAATGTTGGCATAAGATTAAATGTTTTTTTTTCTAGTAAAGTGCATTTTTCTCTACATGATTAGCACATACAAATGTGTTTTTTTTTCATTCAGAGAACAAAGCAAATATTGCCTATATTATTATTAAATTATAATCAGAAAACATTATTATAGTGGTCGGATACTTTCTTCAATCCTATACAGTACCTTAGTCATGCTGCATCAAAGTAGCTAACTTTTAACACAGGGAACAATCCCTTGGCACGATGGCAGTGGGGAATGGCAGTGTGAGGATGAAAAATGCTAATCCAATTAAATAAAAGTAAGGAAGCTGATTTAAGCTGAGATGAAAGACAGGCTTAGTCTACATTTAAGAACTCCTTTTAACGTGCATACAAATCCCAAGAAGGCCGTATACGTCTTTCCTTGAGAACATCCTACTTCCACCCTTTGATATAGCACGTTAGCCCTCTAAGCAGGAAAGGATCCACAACTGAGCAATAAAACACAGTTATATGTAGAAGGATATCATTAAGGCAACAACTAAACAAGAGCCTTGACACCTTTGAAAAACCCCGCCTACATGTTTTTGTTCAAATCAAGTTTAATAAGAGAAATTCTAGTTTCTGGTAAAATTTCTGAAAGTCACCTAAGTGACTTAGGTTCCCAAGTCCCACTGATTTTCAGTTCTTTACGGCACTTAGGTGTTTCTGAAAGTTTTGTACTCTGTGTTTGAAAACAGCTGAAGAGTGTTAGAGTTAAGCTAAGTAATTTTCTCATAACTGACATGGGAAGTGCATTAGAGAGACAAGGTGGCCGAGGTAATATAATTTATTGGACCAACTTCTGTTGGTGAGAGAGACCAAGCTTATGCACTTACACAGAGCTCTTCTTCTGGTCTGAGATACTAACTCAAAGTGTCACGGCTAAATACAAGCTTTGAACAGATTATTTAGCATAAGTAGTTAACACATATTTCAACATATTTTAACGGGCCACTTCATCTTGAATGATCCCTTGAAATCTGTGTTAACTACTTATGCTAAACTATCTGTTCAAACCTTGTATTTAGCTGTGACACTGTGAGTTTCTTTCCCAGACCTGATGAAGAGCTCTGTGTAAGCTTGAATGCTTGTCTCTCTCATCAGCAGAAGTTGGGTCAATAAAAGATATTACCTCACCCACCTTGTCTCTCTAATATCCTGGGACCAACACAGATACAGAAACACTGCATACATGAAAAGTGCATGACTAATAGATTACTGAAAGATTCCAGTGCAGTCCCTTTAGAACAACACTTGTAAACAAATCACCACTTTGATGCTGAGTTAACTATTGGCATGAGTAAGTATTGTAGGACTAGGCCCCTTATTTGTCACATCAGATTGCTCAGGATACATCCGAAGTAGAATATTACAGTATTAGAAGCTGATCCTGCAAACCTGACTCCTGTAATTCCTATTTAAGATTATTCAAGAGTCAGATTGTACATCTAGTAAAGTCTATGGGAGTTTTGCCATTGACATCACTGGAAGCAGGATCAGACCTAAAGGGAGTATGGTTTTCAGCATCAGGCCCTTTGCAACCATGTGTTTATCGAAGGTAGTTTCTTAACTATTTTAGAATAATATTCAATATCTCAATGTATTGATTTGAACTTACAAATAGACACAGGGTTTTCCAAATCAGACTAGACTAATTACTGTAAAATAATTTACAGGAAAACCAAAAAACCATAATGCACCTGGCCAGTCGTGCAATGCTATTCATGGAGAAAAAAAATCTTTCCTGACCTCTAGTGGCAATAAACTTATTTAATTATATTAGCTTTCCCTTACATTAGCATGCATAACTCCAAATGTTGTTACTGATCACAAAATTATCTGTCTTCTTTTTAAATCGATCGACAGTATTTGACTCTCTGACAGCAGTAAATTCCAACTATTCCCTTTGATTTAGTCTAACTTTACTTGCCATTAACTTCAGTGAGTTGACTTCTTATTATGGCACAGAGTAAAAAAGAAAGGCTGATCAAGTTTTCTTGAAGTTTCTTTCATTATTCACTGACTTGAGTGTGGTGTATCAATTTTAGCAATGTAATGTTTGTATAGCATATTACTTGAGTAGAGTGGTACTAGATTGGACAATACATTCAGTAGGAAGAAATGCCATTGCTAAAATATAATTGGGATATAATATTTATTTATACAGAACTATAACAATTTAGAAACTTTCTCTCTTCTATTCAGGTTCTTATACTGCAGCACTCATCGACTGTAAGGCCAGAAGGGACCACTGTGATCATCTGGTCTGACTTACTGCATAATTCAGGCCATAAGACTTCCCCGAATTTAATTCCTGTTTGAATTAAAGCATATCTTTAAAACAAAATCCAATCTTGATTTTAAAATTGCCAGTGATGGAGAATCACTGTGATATCTTTGCACCTTCCAGCATTAATATCTAGCAGCTACCATGTGAGGCTTTTTTCTTCATCTCTTACTCTTCTCAGGGGGAGCCTTGCTTGTGGATCCTCCCTATATCTGAAAACAAGCCTAGCTGCTTCATTTGATTAAAATTCAATATTTGTATTTGTATAGTGGTGGTTCCCAGGAGTGCTAATCATGGATCAAGTTTGCCTTGTAGTGTAATATGAACACTTCAGATAACCATGTAAAGCATTTGAATGCAGTCCATTCATTTAGACTACCTTTCATGTTTGGTTAAATCAACAAACCCATATATATCACTACTCTGCAGTGAAGTAAAAAAAACCCACTCCTACTGTACCAATGACAGGTATAAAACATTCTGCATGCTATTACATATCACTTCCCTCTTCCTTTTCCCCATCCTTGATGACTGGAAACCACTACAAGTTAAGCAAGGGACTGAATTTCAACTTACATAGGTCAGGCCAGTTGCTTTTTCAGGCCCTTTAGTTTCATTGTGCACACAGGATTCTGGGAACCACTGGACGTGATATCGACTCATACTAGTGTCTAAATGAACAAAACAGCAATACAAAAAGGAAGAGGAAAACATACATTACAGTTATGCTTTAGCCATCTGCAGCTTTCCTGGCTTTTCTGGATATAAAACCAAGGGATTTTAAGAACTTTGGAAGTGTCAGTTTCTTGCTGCTCATAAGCATTTAAAGTTCCCATGAATGAAAAGAAGAGAACATTAAACATGTCAATAACTTAATCCATGTGTTAGCGCAGTAAGGATGAACTAAAAAAATAAAATAAAGGGATTTAGCAGAAATTTAAGTGTTGATGAGAGGGAGAAAAAATCCCCATGGTTTATGCTGCCAAACATCTTGGGAATGATGGGAATGATTCAGTGCCAACCGTCTGTAACTGTTTATGTTGTCAGAACATTGCAATGCTGCTGCATGGCACCACTCGGTAAATCTGTGTTTGGACACGTGAAAATTTCCCTGAACCTTATACTTTCAGAATGTATCATGAAACCGCCTCCACATGTGGCCAACTGAAAGTCTAGTCACAGCTCTTAGGAATAATACTAAAGGCTTGCTCTTGCTCTCATTGAAGCCAGTGGCAAAACTCCCGTGACTTCAATGGTGCAGACTCTACAACAGCAATTCCATAGTTATCACTGTGATTTTTAGTAAAAATTCTCTGAGAGCTCCAAACAGAATTGTAGTGGCAGGCGTAACATTTATAACCATTCCTCTCAATCCAGACTGTATGATAAAGCAGACTAGGGCAAAACAAAGAGCAATGAAGAACTGAGACAGAAAACATGGTGGTATAAATGCATCTTGTTGTTTTCCTGGAGTATTCATATTTCTGTGCATAGTGGCTATAAAATTAAATGTCTATTATAGTAATTAACTTGATACACCAGAGTTGCTCATGCCAAGTGCATGATTATGGTTTTCTGGAATGGAAAAGAAATACCTTTGATGGCTTTAGGGTTGATCTGGCAATAGACTGCTATGAGCAATTTGGAAGCAGAAGAGAGGGATTACAAATTAAAGAGAAAATAAGTGATCTCTGAAGCCAACAAAAATTGTATTTGGTAAGAAAGACTGATTGGAAGTTTGTTCAAAATGGATTTTTGTAGCTGTTGTCTTCATAACAACATATATGCTAATTATTTTCATGACTGCTCTCGAAGCCCAAAGGTTTTCAATAAGAAATGAATGAAGAAACACTCAACTGTGTTCTAATTATTTTCTGTCATATTTTTTAAAAATGTAGGTATTCTCACTTGAATCTGACAATTGTGGCTTTGGCATTAGACGTACCAGTCAGAGTGAGATACACACTCACAGTGCATCTCCAAGTAGGTCTCATCTGATTTCATCTGTTCTGATTCATTCAATTATTGCCTATTCTCTGTTTGCTCCTGCTCCTGAGACAAACACATAGGACATGCAGTCCATCATCTGTCATCTAGAGACCTGAAAACTCAGTACTATTCTGTTAACCATCTGAAGTCTCTGATGAATGACTATATAGTGAATCTTCTTATTGATCTCCTACTATCTGATAATCAGCAATTTACTCTTTTAAAGTATACTTACATAAGGCAGACCACTTATAGATCCATTCAAACTTTAAATTCAATACACTCGCTAGTCATTACATAAAAGTATTGCTGTTGGCTTTGTCACAGATTGAATGAGGCCTGGTTACCTGTCCACCAAGAACCGGAGAAGACCACTAATACTTCAAATAGGCCATTGAACACCTCCATATGAACAACCAGTGAAAGATGAGCTGGACTTGATGACCTCTCGAAGTCCCTGTCAGTCCTACATTTCTATGATTCTATTAATCTTGAGGTTTCTAAGTTTGCTTTGGTTAAGTATCTAACTGACCAGTCTGGAGTTGAGCTAATCCTCGGTCTGGAAATCTCATGAAATTAGGATTTCAGCGTAATATCTAATGTATTTCCAGGTTTTGGCCAGGTAGGAAATTCTGTGGGAACTGTGGGGCTCTGTCCAGCTCCCCACCTGTAATCTGATCTTTCCACCTGGGCATACAGATACCCTGCTCACACCTCATTCCTTTCTTCCTTCCTGCCTATCCATTCAGGCAGTGGCAACCTCTTTGTCTCTCTACCGGGAAGCTAAGAAGTGAACTCAAAGCACAACTTTCCAAGAAGCTTCCTGCTGCTGGATTCAAATGAGATTGTTGCTGGGCTGGTGTGAAGAAAGTCTGTAATATCTCTAATTACTGCTCATGTTTTCTGTTGTTTTTTTGTTATCATTCACATTTCATATCCCAATAACAACCTGACCACTGACCCCCTAGACATAACTGCCACACCGAAACCGTATACATTCTTTTTATAAACAGTTAAAATTACTTCAAATACTTGTTTTAACATATATATATATATGTATATATATATATATATATATATATAACCAGTCATGGCTGGAATACATGAATAGTAATAGATACGGTTAAGGTTACTTGCTGTGTTTCCATTCTAAAGGGCCTTTTTCATTGAGATGATTTTCCTAAACTTGTTCATTTGGGACTAAAATTTTTCAGGTATTGTCTCTGAACATTTTTGGAGAGTTTGAGTGAAAAAAGGAGTTCAGGTATTTTGGCTAGAAAGAAGACTGAAAGGAAATAAAAAAATAATAATAACCCCAAAACCCACCAATAAAAAACAAAACTCTATAGCATCCATGATTTGGGATAGAAAACTGAAATGTGGGAGGGAAAAACAGTCTCTAGGTTAGCAATGTACTTTTTCAATGGTTGGAGGGATGTTTTTGCTTTGGCAGAGTAACAGATATACAAAAATATCATGCTTTGTTTATGCAGGATACATGTTTAGTAACAACATCACCTTTAAAAATAACTATATCCCAATATATTTGAAAACAAATAGATCTAGTGGATCTGAGGTATGAAAGCCAAACCTAGTGAGAAACTTTTCTAAACGTTTGAAAATACATTTCCTTTTTCTTTATTAGGGTGCTAACTATGAGTGTAAATTGTGTGACTCTAGGGTTTTTATCTATAAGATAGTGTATATCTGTGAGATTTAAATACATGCAAAAGAAAAACTTACTGTAGCTTTTCCCATCAGCAATGTGCATTGGCCCCTACTGAGATCACTACTGTACTTTTCTTTGGATTTTTTTGTTCATCTATCAACTATAAACATGGCAATAGTAACTCTTGCTGCTAATGCAAAGGGGAACCAATTCAAGCTGTTGTTTAATCTAATGGCAGAGTCACCAAGGCTCATGATTCAGAATTATAGACAGTTGAAGTTAATTCACTATAATCTATAGTCATGCCTGGAAGTCACATATGAAAAGTTGTTTGTGAAGTTAATATTAGTAAGAATAGCCAATATGCAGTAAGATTCTTTCATTATCATAGCTAGTTTTAGCAGAAAACCTGGCTATTCCTTGTAACTATAACTTTTGAAATTAAAGAGACTAACAAAAAACCGCTGCCTTGCTACCTTGAATTGGGATGGAGAGTTGGCAGTTTTTCAAAGGGACACTATTAAGAGCCCAAAAGCAAGCTATTCCGCTGGTTAGGAAAGATAGAAA